AGCGAGATGAGATTCTCTGCTCTGCGAGTGAGTGAGTGAGTGAGTGTGGTGTTATTTAGAAGCTCGCTCGCGCTGCATGTCAATCGCGGCCTCACTCATTCGGCCCTCTGAGTCCCTGAACGGCTTCCAGATCGCCCGGATGGAAGCCGGCACTCTGCTGTCCGATCGCGTCGCGCTGTCAGAACGCGTGACGTCATCGTCTACCCTGCAGCGATCCACCACCCGCCAGACTGCCATCCACCACCCTGCCCGAGTCAAGAAATCTTGCTCTGGCAGTCTCCACCCCCGCGTGACGTCCCAGCCCGCCCCGGCCCCTTCTTGGCCAACTATGCGATTGGAACTACTCGTCGACCCCGCAGGACGCGCTGGAGGTTGGGACTTTGATACAATATGAGCGGGCTTTCATCAGCAGACCACTCGCTGGAACGTGTACTCAATCCATGAGCCTTGCTATACCATAGCCGAAGGTTTCTGCTGTCCTTCGCAGCCACGCGCCCACCACAACCTAGCCATTCTCAGCGTTTATGAGCTACCGCAGCACACTACTGTGAACCCACTTGCAGCGCGCCGTCCTGGGATGCCCTCTACCGCATCCCCTCTCCAGCGTTCGACAACCGCGAGCTGCTGCGGTGCGTCTAGTCTGGGTATGTTCAGTGTGCTCCGGCACAGTCCTGTGCGATGTCGCTTATGTTTTGCGTTCTAGCACAGACCGTATCGATACACACCTGCGGCTCGCCATGTCTGTCTTCGAACGAAAGCGTGCAACGTCCCGTCCCAACTCACATAACGATGGCTCTCCCTCCCCTAGTACCGTGGTGTACACCCCCTTGGACGTCGACCGTCAGGTCAGCGCATTGCTCAACAAACTCACGATGGCGCGCTTCGACTCGATCTCAGACCAGATCATTGCATGGGGGAACAAGTCGGAGAATGAGCAGGACGCTAGGACGATCATCCAGGTCATCCGGCTTGTGTTTGAGAAAGCGACAGACGAGACACCATGGCCGGAGCTTTGCGCGGGCTTGTGCCGCAAGATGATGGAGCAGATCAGCCCCAACGTCCGCGACGACGGCATCAAGAACGCCGACGGCAAGCCCATCGCAGGTGGCCAGCTCTTCCGCAAGTACCTTCTCAACCGCTGTCAGGAGGACTTCGAGCGCGGATGGGTTGCAAAGGAGGCCCCGGCCGCTGCGGTAGCGACGAAGGCCACCGAGGACCAGGCCGCGAAGGCGGCTGCCGATGGCAAAGAGGACGAGGAGAGCGCCTTGTACTCGGAGGAGTACTACGCTGCGCAGAAGGCGAAGCGGCAGGGTCTCGGTCTCATCAAGTTCATCGGCGAGCTCTTCAAGCTGCAGATGCTCACGGAGCGCATCATGCACCAGTGTGTGAAGAAGCTGCTGGGCAGCGTCGAGAATCCCGTGGAGGTGGAGATCGAGCGTCTGTGCAAGCTCCTGACGACGGTCGGCCAGATCCTCGATACCCCCAAGGCCCGCGCCCACATGGACGTGTACTTCTCGCGCATGAAGGAGCTCTGCAAGAACCCGAACGTCAGCGCGCAGATGCAGTCCATGCTGCAGGTGAGTATGTGTGCCCTCTTCACGGCGAGGTCGACCTCAACCGCCATCCAGGAAGTCATCGAGTTACGGGAGCGGAAATGGGTACCGTCGGCGTCCCCCTACCGGAGTCTGGCAGCCTCGCGTGACCCTGCCATCGCCACGCTCTATGAACAGGGGAGTTCGCATTGCTGGAGTTCTATGCACTTGTGCTAATCCCTATGCTTGCGGCGAGAAAACCTCCGGCCGAAGGAAACGGCTCGCTGCCTTGCGGTTGTCTGCGCGCGTCACAGGCGCCGCGGGAGTGGCCGTCTTCGGGTGCGTGGACGGCGCGGACGGCGCGGACGGCGCGGGGCTACGGGACGGACGAACGGCTGCAGAAAGCACGCATCCTCGCCCAGTCTCTCCACCAACAGACTTGCCGCCGCCGCCATCTTGCGGCGCTCGGTCATGCTTCTCAGTGCCAATGCGCCCAGCTGGATGAACCGCCCAGACTGTTCTCGCGGTGAGCATCGTCGGACTCAGGTGAACTGCCCGCCCTGCGTATCGCTGATGAAGGCGCACTTGTAGCGTCCCGCCCGCCCCGACGTTCCCTCGACCCCCCAAAGCGTTGAAATTGTCAGTGCTGCACGCACAAACTGGGCGCACATCGATGTCCAAGTCGGGGGTCCGCGCGCCTACACGCCCAGACCGGTACCACCAAACACCAGCGTGAAGCTTGAGCTATCGACGGCCGCGTCCTCGCCACGCCCTCGTAAACGACGCGATTGGCAAGAGAAGGGCATGCGATAGAACTCGCAACAAGCCGCCTGCCTCATGTGCCCGCCGCGCGTCCTCGACCGCGCCCGCCAGCGCACCATGCTGATCGCTCGATCCTTCTTCACCCACCACTCGTGCATCTTCATCGACACCATCCACACGTTCTGTGGACGTGTGTGGTGCTCTTCGTCGCACTCTGGCACTCGCACGGACGCGCCCCGGCCGTCCTGTGCCCGCGGCGCGGCCCGCAGAGGAACGACCTCCGGACGCCATCCCTCGCTGTTTCCGCCGTGTCCCGTCATCCCACTCGCGCGATACTTGCACGACAGACTCTGCGGTGTACGCGGAACACGGTACGTGCACTACCCCCGCGTACGGACAAGATCTGCGCTCACAAACCGAGATTCTAGGTCGCAGAAACGGCTAATATCGACTTTCCACACGCATACATGCATGCAAGGACTGCAAATTAACACGAAACGTTCCCCTGAACCAGGACGCACACGGCCGATATGTTTGCGGCGCCATACGAGCAGAAAATATTTCGACATCTTCGGGCCATTTCATGGGCGGAAACAAAGAACGCCGCGTCGCGGACCACCCTCGCAAGGTACGACTCTCCAATCTTACGTGCACACGGTCCTGACATTTACGCACAGGATCCCACCGCTTTCGAGCGCGTACGCGTACGTTCAAGTTCGGCCGTCTCGGCGGCTATCGCACCGGACGCCCTTCCGCGCGCGGATTCCGCCGCGTCCCGTGCGCCGTCCTGCGCGACTTCGATAACACACATCCTGTGTACCATGTGCAACACGGTGCGTGCGTTTCCCTCGCGTCCGGACCCGATCTGCGCTCACAGTCCGAGATTCTAGGTACAAACGACACCTAATATCGACATTCCACGCGCATACAGGCCCGCAAGGACTCCCAAACGAAACGAACGCTCCCCTGCACCAGGGCACATACAGCCGTCACGCTTTCGACGCGATCCGAGGAGAAAATATTTCGACATGTCCGGGCCATTTCATGGGCCGAAACAAAGAACGCCCCGCCGCGGACCGCCATCGCAAGGTACGGCTTTCTAATTTGACACGCACACGCACCTGAAACGTACGAACAGGATCGCGCCGTTTTCAAACGCGTACGAGCATTTTGAATTTCGGCCGTTTCGGCGGCTCTCGTATCGGACCGCCCTCTCACAGCTCGTCGAGGCCGTACCGCTTGCACCCCGCGCCGTGGACGTTCTGGGACGCAAGGAAACATCTATATGGACACTAATACACTAGTACAAACACATGGGAATCCCGTCGGGCGCATACCCAGGGTGCGTCGTCGTCGTCTGGCTCGTGGTGTGACGCTAACGACCGAGATCGCAGCGTCTCAAGCCGCGCGGCGCGCAAGCCCGTGCTCTACGCGACCACAGGCTCAGTGCCTGCCCGCGTCAACGACGCACCAAGGGGCGCCACCACTCGCCGCGCGAGCACGCCACGGCGAGAACACGTCCCCGCCGTCCGTGCTCGCCACCGCCAGTCCCAGACGATGGCGCACCGCGTTCTCGCCACCGCCAGTCCCAGACGATGGCGCACCGCGTTCTCGCCGCGCCCCACGAGCCGGGCTGCGTGGTTTACGACGAGAGCGGGCCCTGCGGAGGACGCCGAGGCGCAGGTGCACCCCGGCGCGCTCCAGCTCGCGTGCACTCACCTAGCGAGCTGGAGGCCGCGTCCGCGTCGTCGTGCGCGTTCCCGAGCGCGAATACGGTACGTACTGCTATTATGCTACTCTACCGCTCCCCAGCTTGCTGACTTCACCAGGTGCCTCCTTGCTTCGCGGACGCGAGATCCCCGGAGGGGAACCGCGTCGTGGGATGCTAGGAAGGGGGTCAGTCGAGGCTGGGGTGCTCAAACGATAGGTACGTACCTTCAGGCCGCTCGCGAGGGCAGCGGACGCTGATCTTCGCCCTTCAGAGTCGTGTGGAGGACAGCTAGGAGCGCGCTTAGTCGGGAGTGGCGCGCGGAGACGGCATGTGCGTACTGTCATGCTGCTTGCGAGCGGAATGGACGCTGATCGTCGCGTCTAGGACGTGTCTGCGGAGAAGGGCGAGCGGTATCGAGGGGCACACGTCGAGAGAGGGGACATACCGGCGTCGGGGCAGCGTCGAGCGAGGCTGGAGACGGTGCGAGGCGTCGAGGCGTCGAGGACGGGGAGCAGGCGGGATGTCGAGGACGGGGTTGAGGCAGGACATCGAGGACGGCGTGAAGGCGCGGCGTGAAGATGGCGCGAAGGCGAGGCGAGTACGGGTGTGGTGGACATGGATGGGATGAGTGGTGGATGTGCCCTCACGACGTTGACCTGGGGTGATTTATAGGGAGACCCCGCGCCGCGCACGGACCTCGCGAACGGCGATATCGGAACCCGGGATGCGTCCCTCCGTTGTCGCCGTGTGCTCGTGTGGACCCGCGCGCTCCCGTCGCTTCGCGGCGCGGCTGTGTTGCTATGTACGTCTCCCGCCGCGGAGTCTCGTTCCAGCGCTCTGGACCGTGCTAGCACGATCGCGTTTGCGAACACGACGACAGGGTTGCAGGTACGCGGGAATCGTACGAGTCGGGCGGCGTCCGATGCCGTCGTCCTGCTCAGGGCTCAGGAGATGCGACGGCAGGAGCTGTAGTTCCAAGGCGACGCGCAGCCGTCCAACAACGCCCCGACGCCGGGGGCGATTGCGACTTCGTCGGTGAGTGTGTCCTCCAGTGCTCGCGCGAAAGCTGAACGAAATCGTACATGTATAGGTACAGGGGAATGCCTCGATGCAGTCGGACGGCGGGGAGGATTCCTCGATGGCGCATGAAGACGACATTCAGCCGTGTGCGCGAGAAGCACAGCATGCCCGCCTCGCGGCTTTCCCTGGACCACGAAGACGAACGACACCCGGGACTGCGATGCACGGAACGGCGGCACCTACACCCTACCTACCGCCGCGGCCCCGCATCATTCGGTGTCATTCGGGTACACATCGGGGCTACACCGATGGACGTCTCGCGTACGGGACAAGTCTCGTAACTTGTCGCCAAGACGCCTGGCTGAGCCTTGCCCCTCCGCCCTCGCCGGCTCTGTCGCTTCGCCGTGGAGATGGCGTCCTCAAGCTCACTCCGCGAGGTAGTAGTGCACTGTCCCTGTATGTATCAACACCATGCAATATATTTGTTGTATCGTTGCTCCTCCTGCGCTAGAATCCGCTCGTTTCAGAGGAACACCACGGTGTGCACCCGCCCGAACATCAAGCACGATGCTGTGCGGAAATTGGCGTCGGTACGACGCCGTCGGAGGCCGCGGAGTCGTAGGGAGAGTTCGAGAACATGCAGACAAAGCGCCGATAAATACGGATGTGTTTCAGTCGAAGGGCAACCCGTGTGCGCTCAATAAATGTATCCGCAGCGCTCTCCGGGTGCGCAAGGAACCCGCACGTTCGCCCACTGCGCTGGAAGCGAAGAAATCGCCCAGTCGTACGGAGGCGAGTGCGGAGATATGTGGGACCCGCACGAGCTTGTCGATAAAATATATTGGAGCTACTCGAGCGTACATGTTGCGACCGCAGCGCGGCGCGCGAGGACGCGAGCTTGGGGTTTCCTAATCATTCCAAAGAGCAACATCTTCCCCGGATATAGCGAGCGGTTTGGGGCTGCTTCAATTCGTACAGACGCACCGCGGGATAGACCACACTAGCTATCGTCGCACACACTTCCTAGCGCGTGCACAACCGACCTCGCGGCCCTGCGAGCAACAGCCTGAAGCTTGTTTAGCATCTGAGCGAAGACTATCCGAGGCGGCGCCGTACCTTACGTCTGGACTCCCGCGCAATCCGACTGAGTGTCTGCAAAGGCGTGGATAGCGGGCTCTGCTAGTGCCGAGAGCCTCCAAGGTGCTCACAGATCGGATCTGTGTGGTGAGAAGCACGGAGCACTGATCAGCAAGCGAAATTGAGTTTGGTACCATACATACGGGCGTACCGACGGCGGCCAGTGCTCCGCGATATCGCCCGGAAGAGCACGAATGCCGTATCGCGATTCGACGGACGGACTGTGCGCGTTTCAAGCGTACAATGTGCACGTAAGCCCGGCTGCTCGCGCGAAGACGTGGGAACTTACATGCACAGAGCGGCACCGTGTAATCGAAGTCCGTATCCGTATTTGCCAGTGAAGGTGTCCGGGCATCAGGTAGCGAGACAGTTGCTATGCATGGAGAGAGCTCACTGGCATCCGTGGCGCGGTCCGTCTGCCATAAAAATAATCCCGTGTACGCGTACGTGTACGGGGATGTTGGACGTCCGCTGACATGCGCTCTGCCTGCCGTATCGATTACACATGGCAGCGGATGATGTCCCGAGCCACCCTGCAGGTAACGACTTCGATCAGCACACAAATAGCTCATATCCGAGCTGTAGCAACAGCGTACCTTACGCCTACATTGAACAGCGCCCCCGCGCGAGTCGAGTCGAAGCCTCGCGCATTGATTGCAGATTGTGCCCTGAATATTGAAGAATATAGTTAGCTTTGCTCATTCAGGATCGGAGAGGTTACATGCGAAGTACAGGACATCGCCCTACGAGACGATGTAGGTTATTTTCAGCGCAGTACAATCACACGAGAACCCCGCAACGTCCGGGGTATGACACGTGTGTATCCTCGGTCCTTCGATCATCGAGGCGCACGCAGGAACGTGGGTTGCCATTGCATCGTGCCGCCGCGCGCAACGATGATTATACGATCGTTACGACGGCGGCACGCGGCAGGCATCTTGGCGCAGAGTGGGAAACCGACGGCTCGTTCAGCCTACACACCATTCGGCACCAATCTAACAGGCCCGGGCCGTGTTATCGTTGTGGCTGCAGCAACAGCCTTCTCGCAGGGCGGCGTGTGGCAGGCTCTCGTTTCCCGGAAACGGGAACCAGGGGCCTTCCTTGCCGCTTGGCGTGGTGTCATCTCTGTTCCGAGTCGCCAGGCTGCTGTCCCAGAGAGGAGTCAGCAAAAGCATGGGATAGCGAACAAGCTCACATCATGGCCCCGGTCGTCTGGAAGCACCGTCAAAACTCACACCCTCTCGCATAGATTCGCGCGAGATCGTTTCGGAGTAGGCACGAACATGGACTGTACCGACCATTCGCCGATTTTCGTCTATCTTCTCGCTAGGGTTTTGACGGTATCTTCGTGGGATAAGCTGTGCACCGTGTACGATCAATGCGGAATACATTGCCGGAAGCTATCGCCAAAGAGACGTACCGTGGCTGCCATGCCTTTTAGTTCTATTAGTGCCTGATGTGCCACAGGGCGGTAAGGTAGTCAGTGTCTAAGCCAAGAACGTACACATGTTTTGAAACACTGAATATTGCTCGTGATTTACACGTACAGGAAGGCAATTTGCTCTAGTACGGAGTGAGAAAGCGATCAGTTCCACTAGCACTGATGTACTGACAATCGGGGCTCCGGTATGCCGCGGAGAGAGGCACGGGTGACACAGTTTGAATTCGGACAGGCGTGCCGCGGGTTTCTGATGCCTACGATGCGACGGTAAGTCAGTTGCTCGCTCAGTAGAATAAAATATTTACGGGTGAAGCAGGGCTGGCCCCAGTGACGGTGCGAGTTTTTGATGTTCCGGCTGAGGGTGCACCGAGGCGCAGGCAACCGCCCGCTTCCGAGTCGAAAGTTCCAGAGCCCACGGATGAACGCAAACGAGACCTGTGCCAGACACTGTACGGAGCGCCGATGAGCAAACAAGATCGCAATCGTGAACTCAGCGAGTGCGTACCGACGGCCGTTGCTCTGGTACTCCGCGTGGAAAGGCGGGTCCTACCCGATTTGCATTGGCATGCAAGATGTAATTCACGCCTACGATGTGCGCGTAATTTTAGCCGGTCACAAATGAAGGGGGGCGCACAGTCGAGTCTAGAGACCGCCCGCGAGGATGCGAGCTCCGTGTGTTTGTACATGATCTATGCTACATTCTGGGGAGGCGAAGGGTGTCGTTTAAATGGCAGGGAGTCGGGTTTTCACGAATGCATTACTTACACAATACCAGTGGCGGATACGAAATATTCACCGGGCCTCACGACGCGCACGACGGGCGCGCACGGCCATTCCTGCACGCGATGAGCTCATTCCTTTGCGAGATGCGATTGGATCGTACTCACATTGAGTCTGCGATCTTGGTGTGACTTGCGATCTCGCAAGCGGACGCGCTGCGCAAGGGCGCACTCTCATCCCGCGGCGCGGCCCACACAATATGACGCAGCACGAGCACAAGCCGACGTCCGCGTGCTCCCTTTTATATATGCCCTAGCCGCACCTCATCAGCCCTTCCATCCGCACCCATCATCCCGCACTCACCGTCCTTCCGAGATGTCTTCTGGGGCCATCTTCATCGACTGCACCTCCCAATCCAGCAGCGATGGCGTTCGAGCGACGCAGCGCGAAGGTGCTCGGTTCAACCTGCAAAACTCTATCACCGGGGGTTTACGTGAGTCATTGCTCATTCCATGTAGTACACGGACCACTCACATTTCCTCTAGGAGAGCTATCTGGCAACCCGACGGCGGTGATGTGGTACGCCGCCAAGTATTATGCTGCGAACGTGGTCGTCAAGCAGGAATGCAAGCTCGTCGGCTGGCCGGCGAGCATCCCGTTCACCAGCATCAGCGAGATCCGCAGCGGCGTCCCACCGCTGCTCGAGCTCCAACGGCGGTGGAACCTCCCGGATGGCGACCCGGAGAAGCTGCGCTTCGAGCGCGCAACATCCGAGGACATCGCCAACGCCATGCGCGACCCGGAGAGTGTCCACCCAAACTCCGCGCAGCTCCAGGCCGAGAAGCTCAAGGCCGCCGCAGCTCGCGCGGAGCCTGAGGCGAAGGCGGCAGCGCAGGTCATCCCGGTGTGCACGTATCACCCAGACGACCTCAGCTTCCTTGGGCTCGAACTCACTTCCACCACGCCCGACGCCGACCCGGAGGCGCAGCGCAGCCAGCGCGTGGACTATGGGCGGCGGCGTAAGCGGAAGTCGGACGGGTCTCTGCAGGTGCGCAAGCGGCTGCCAAAGGACGGCATCAAGAGTGCACGCTGCGTGATCCCGGGTGTGAAGAGGAAGGGCAGGGCGGTCGGGAAGGGGGCGAAGAGGGTGCGGCTGGACGACCGCGCGGTGGACGACCCCATCGACCGGTTCGTGCTGTCGACAGAGTTCGGGGGCTCGCTCTCCGGCATGGGCGTGTAGACGAGTGGTTTGCGGTGCTTTGGACGATACTTTCTCTCAGTACATTACAGCTTACTAGATCTACGTTTCGAGCTCGAAGAGGGGGTGGGATAGCGGGAACGCGAGAGTCATTGTGGTGGGCGAACAGCAAAGAGTCGGCGCCGCGGCAAGCGCGCAAAGGCTGCGCCGGGCGCTTCGAAGTCGAAGTACGCCGGTTGCCTTTTTGGGCAGACTTGGTTAGATCGACCGCCACACGGTCACTCTTGTCTTTGCACCGTCCGCACGGCACTGCGAATCGCGTATTAAGGCTCTAATATTTGTATCGTGCATGTAGACTGTTTTGGGGAAAGTACTGGGGTTTTTCTGGAGCGGGGCGCCGGCGTGAACCAGATCGGACGGGTGGGGCGGCCATCAGCGGGCGGATGTGCTGGGAGGGCAACGGATGACAGCAACGAGAGCCTAGTGTGGTCGCGTAAAATTGGTGCGAATTCAGAGGGGTGTGGGGCGCCAAGACCTGGGTAAATTTAGTGCAGAGGATGTCCATTGCTTTAGACAGAATCAGCCAAAGAAAGTAGTGGGATGAGCAAGAGATCTGCACATCCCAGCTGCATTCTGTGGCTGATTCTGTTTACATGTCTGCTGCAAGCGGACATGGGAGGCGCAGAACAGCTGTGAATAAAATGTGTGAGCGTGAGTAAGGCGGCAGCGGGCATCAGGGTTCTTGGAGACTAAGTCTGAGAGAGACGAGGCCGGGTTCCGAGAGCCGCAGTGCCCCGGGAACCAGGCCGATAAATGAGCGCATTTATTACGTGGTAAGTACAGGGAAATCCAGGCCTTCCGGGCGCGTTTTGCAAGCCCCACGCGCCGGACGGCCGTCGCTACGAGTCCGATGCGCCGGTACTATCTCCCACCGCACACCTCACGCACCCCCGGCTTCTCTTCTCCCCTGCCCATCGTCCCACACCCTACACCACCTCTGCCCCACACACTGCTGCCCCTCGCCGTCGATGCGCAGCGAGGCATCAGCCCAGGACAGGTGAGTGGTACAACTCGAGCTTACCCAGATCAGCGCCGAGCAGGTGCGCGAGATGGATCCCCACACGACGAGGTCGACGGACACCGGAGGAGGGCGGGAAGCGAGCATGCGCACGATAGCCGGCGGAAGGCAGCGCTGGAGGCGAAGAGGGCGGCCGCGAGACCATCGCTCCGCGGGAGGGAGAAGCAGAGCTCGGCTGCCGCCGCTGCGAAGCCGAGAAGACGTCCCGAAAGGGACAACGGTACGGAGTCTGTGCTCGAGGTAAGTACGCGCCATTCCGCGTTTTGTGCCGTGTCTGACGTACCAGGTCATGCCGTCCACTGTCGTCATCCGTCTGACGGCACACGAGCGCGATGTGAACGAGTAGAGACGTGTGCCGGGACACGGGAGGCGTTGGTAGCCTCAGAAGCCCGGAAAGAAACAAAGGCCCGGGCACCACGGGGAATGCCAGCGGCGCATCACGTCGAGCTGTGATCAACGTGAGTTCTCGATGTCCTTCTAGTGCACACGGCCTGTCTGACATACCATATTGCGAGGCCCTCCCACATTGATCGCAAGGGACCACGGCGCGGAACGCGCGGAGGATCTGAGTTGGAGGTGAGTTCTCGCGATTCCACTTCTCGCGACTTGTCTGACGTACTATGGCCCATCGTACGTCGTCGCTGTCCGTTCGACGGCGTGGGAACGCGAAGAGGGCGAGCGGAGACATGCACGAGGACGCTGGGGTCGTTCGCGGTCGAAGATGTCCAGAACGGCCCCGGCGCCACGGCGAATGGCATCTCAGGCGTGTCAAGCTGTGATCGAGGTGAGTTCGCGCCGTTCTGCTTCGAA